AGGATTCACGCTTTCGCCGTGAGTAGGGGATCCACTGGAGCAAGGGACAATGGTGTAAGGACTCCTTTTCCTTTAAGAGAAGCGGCAGTAACAACTTGGAATGAGCTGACCTGCACTCCCCCATTCCCTGCCCCCCTGCGCTGCTGGGGGGAGGAGGAGGTAGAGCCGGGAAGAAGAGGCAAAGGGGGGGGAGTGGTGTTGTTTTTAAGACCTGGCCTTGTTTTCTTGTTATTCTCTCAAGTAACCGTTTTTGTGTGCTTTTCTCTTTTGTAGGTAGCTGTTAATAAATAGTTTTGCATTAAGAAAAAGCCTCTTTTGGCCGGGACCGTGGTTGGTGGGTGCTCCTCTGTTCCTGTCTCGATCCTCAGCTCTTTTATTACATTTTTCTCTCCTCTCCATTTTACTGGACTGGGAGAGCTGCGTGGGTTTGGTTGCCGGACTCAGCCTAATCCACGACAGACACAAAGTTTTCAGAAGCCATTCCCTAAAATTATGCCATTGTGTACAGAGACCTCCTGTTACAGAACAGGAAAGACATTGTTTTTTTTCTCTTCTTCAGGCACAGAGGACTAAAGTTAGGGCTACACAAACCTCCAAGCAAAGGGAGTTAAATGTGACATCCCTTGTTAGTTTCAAAGTTCATTTTCAAGCAGTTTTGAGTTTCCTGATAAAACTGGTAACATATCCACAGTGTGCAACACGGTGCAGGGTATTTCTATTCACAGGTTTGGTTTGGGTACAATGGCCATCCCTGGCTGATGCTAAGGACAGCCTCTCTCTGCCTTGTGCTGACATATGCTCTGCTCTGTTCCCACACCATCAGACCAGCATCAAGTCCTCTTTGTTCAGTGGCGGAGGACTAGGCTACAAGAGCAACTCCATATGGAGTCGGTATATGGGGTCGGTATTGGGGCTGGTGCTGTTTAACATCTTTGTCAGTGACATGAACAGTGGGATCGAGCACACCCTCAGCAAGTTTGCTGACGACACCAAGCTGTGTGGTGTGGTGAACAAGCTGGAGGGAAGGGATGCCATCCAGAGGGACCTTGACAGGCTTGAGAGGTGGGCCTGTGAGAACCTCATGAAGTTCAACAAGGCCAAGTGCAAGGTCCTGCACATGGGTCGGGGCAATCCCAAGCACAAGTACAGGCTGGGTGGAGAATGGACTGACAGCAGCCTGGAGGAGAAAGACTTGGGGGTGTTGGCTGATGAGAAGCTCAACATGAGCTGGCAACGTGCACTGGCAGCCCAGAAAGCCAACCATGTCCTGGGCTGCATCCAAAGCAGCGTGGGCAGCAGGTCGAGGGGGGGGGATTCTGCCCCTCTGCTCTGCTCTCCTGAGACCTACCCTGCAGTGCTGCGATCAGCTCTGGGGTCCCCAACTTAAGGAGGACATGGAGCTGTTGGAGCAGGTCCAGAGGAGACCACGAAGATGAACCGAGGGCTGGAGCACCTCTGCTATGAAGACAGGCTGAGAGTGTTGGGGCTTTTCAGCCTGGAGAAGAGAAGGTTCCGGGGACACCTTCTAGCAGCCTTCCAGTACTTAAAGGGGGCTACAAGAAAGCTGGCGAGGGGCTTTGGACAAGGGCATGTAGTGATAGGACACGTGGTGATAGATTTAAACTGAAAGAGGCGAGATTTAGATTAGATATAAGAAAGAACGTTTCTCAGAGCGTGGTGAGGCACTGGAATGGGTTACCCAGAGAAGTTATGGATGCCCCATCCCTTGAAGTGTTCAAGGCCAGGCTGGATGAGGCTTTGAGCAACCTGGTGTAGTGGAAGGTGTCCCTGCCCATGGCAGGGGAGTTAGAACTAGATGATCTTGAAGGTCCCTTTTAACCCAAATCATTCTATGATTCTATATATAAATCTTGGGTCAGTGCCACATACACCACTAGCCACTGCTCCTCCTCTGAATTTACCACCTCCTCTTCCATCACTGGGTACTTGGTATGTGTTACAACCTGACACTATGCCCCAGGGCAGCTCCTCGATGGGCAAGAAAACACCAGAGTCCCACAGACATTGTTGGACAGGAGCCAACAACCCATCCTCTCCTCCCCAGTGTCCTCAAAGAGGAGAGTGCTTCTATCTATCATCAGAGCATCACGGAATTATAGAATCATGATGCAGTCACCGGTGAGGATGGCATGTGAGATGCAAACACTTGTCTTGGCATGGTAATGGGATCACTTGGTAGTTTTTAATTGACCGCCCAGCATTCAATGTTGGACGCTGCCTTGTCATGGAAACACCTGCCGTAACTTCAGAAAAACATTTGTGGGCTTCAGAGCTGCCCTGTGGGACTCAGAACAACCTCAGTAATTTTTCAAGTATATTGATGAACATCAAGCACACCCCTGAACATGTTTGCACTACCATCTGATTTCTGAAAAGCGCTGTGAGCTTGCTGTTGGCAGCCTGGCTTCTTCAAGGTATGGGATGCCAGACACCGCAAAAACATTAGAACAAGCTCCTTAACTGCTTCTCAAAATCTCATCTGAAAATCCCATCAGAAATTAGGCATGTGAGACATGGGAGCAGGTTGGAAAATGCCCAACTCCATCTTTGTGGAGTTGAGGTTGTAGGGATCTTGGGACAGTATTCATCAGAGAATAGAAAAAAAATCCAATGGTGAAACAAGGTCTCTATAACTGCTGATAAAACATGTTATTTGAGAAGTTGTGAAGCTGAGTAAACTACCACTGCGGACTCCTGAAATTCTAGCCTAGCCCGACAAAAATCCTTTTATTCACACAATTTACAGGAGTCACAGCAGGCAGGTCTGTGAAAGGAGAAGAGAGCAGATGTTCAGGCAAATAGAAGTAGAAAGAACAAGACTGCCGGGTGAAAATATCATTTGGCTGCCTAGTCTGTTGATAAAGTAGAAAATATAGCATGAAATTTAAAGTCTCTGTGTTCAACAATGCCATTATTTTAGGGGCACATTTCATTTCAAAGGAAGAACTGATTGAAAATTTCGTCGTTTCTGTTTTTCTGTAGAAACCTGTTTTTCTGTCTAGATGATGGTTTCTGTAAAATCTATCTCTTTACCCCAAAGAAAAACATCAGTTCTGAAAACAAAAACTTGAACACCCACAGCCTAGTTTGAATCTTTGATGCAGGAAACCAAACTTTACACTAAAACATTTTAGACAAAAATGATGTTGCTTCTCCTGTCTCTACCCTGTGTGTATAAAACCACCAAACTCCAAACCCACCCAACAGGTCCCAGCTCAACCTTTGAGCAAAGCAAACAGGTTTTTCAATGTTTGGCACTTTTGAACATCCAGGTAGGTCAGGGATGGACATCACCCAGCACAGGTGCTGAGCCCAGTCCCCAAACTTGGCCTTCTGTATTTAAACAAAATTAAACCAGCACTGAATGAATAGGATATTAAACAGACGTGATAACTAATTGAATAAAACAAAATAATAAAGAAATATTCACTTTGCTTGAGATGTTTTACCTTTGATCTCTCTTTTGCAGTGGATGCCTCCTCAAAATGCGCGGTGAGAGCCATCAGCAGCCCCACAAACAGATTGTTTAAGCTAAAAACCTCCGCCGCGATGGACCACTGCCATGTTAGACGAGAAAATGAAAACACCCCCGCAGCAAGGATTCCTCCAGCATATGAGCCAGAAAGCCTGCAAACACAGATAACATGAAATCTTCTTTTCCAACAAAAAAAGCCTACTTCATTGTCCTTCTTTTCTATTTTTTTTAAATATCTTTTTTTTAAACATACTGTAGCAGCACAAGCGATGACTGCCACCCAGCACCCTGCCAAAACATTATATGGTTAATATCTTCCTAATAATTTCTTGGCACTGAATTGCTATTAGGAAGAGGAGCTGTTAGCCAGCTCGTCTTATTTGCAAGCCACCCAACACCAGAGTCAGCTTCTTCTCGCGAATACCGGGAAAACTTCCAGTATTGAATTCGGTTCAGAAACCCTGAGGAGCAATGGCCCAGTGGGTCATGGTACGCCGAGCCAGGGAGTCCCACCTCCAATGGGATACTTTCCGCTGAAGGAGATGCCAGCGAGTGTGCAGCCTTAAATTCATCAAGGAGCTGAAGAAAGAGTGGATTAGAGCTACTCATGATGGACAGCATTAGTAGAGCTTTCCTGGGGGGGGTTATTTAGCGTCTTGGGGGTGGGTGAGGATTGCGGTACTCCTAGTCCCAGCAGGGAGAGGGGCCTGTTGGGGTCAGGAAAAATGGGGGTCAGCCCCATCCCACAAGAGGGAGCAGAGGAAGTGGATGAAGCACCGGCTGTTGGGATGGCGGCGAGCCCAAAAACCGGGCACCTCTGCGACTCTCGGATGGGATTATGGCACACGATCCCCATGGAGCCGCTTGCCCAACTCAGCTGGATGCTGCAGTCAGCACGGGGAGCCCACGAGGTGGGATTTAGCCCAGGAAGCCTATTACGTCCATTGTGCAATAGTGGCTCTTCCTACCCGCTCGCATCGGAGGCAGCTCCAACTCTGCCTGTTTGGAAGGTCTCTCCTTTGGGAAGTCACCCTGAGATGCCACTGCGCAGGGCACCACAACCAGCTCAATTATGCCTTAGCACAAAGTCAGAAAGCTGCGGCTATGGTCAGAGCTCCTCTCCAGAAATTCACCATCCCACTGGGAGACTAAAGCCAGGCCCTACCACTAATTCGGTATATTTCTAGTCCCACCCCATGTACACACATTTCCATTTAGTCCTAACATTTCCAGGTTTAAAGCAAAACAACAAGCTAGCCAACTTCTCCATCGAGCTACCCGTGTAATTTGCTCCTAAATACTGGCCATATCCTCCAAAGTCCCCAGGCGGCTGTTCTGCCCATTAGCAAGTGGACATCTGTGTAGGCCTTGCTTATGGGGTTCCTCACAGAGCTCTGACATAAATGGGGACCAGTTACCCAAAAGCTACAGCCCCTATGAGCAGAGATGAGGGAGCTGCTGGCATGGCACCCTCTAGCAAGGGCTCCTCTCCTTGGTTACGCTTTCTTTCCACCTTCCCAAAATGACCTCAGTATAGCCAACCTATTTCTGGAGATGTCAATGAAGGACTTGGGCAGCCAGAATGGGAATTTTGAATCCATTAAAAATGGGAAGCAGAGTTCACGGGGAGGAGAGGACTGGGATGAAGGCTTGGGAAGACCAGGTCTCTATTCCTTCTCCTACCACTGACATCAGACATCCCGGGTGGTCTGGGACAAGCCACTCCACTGCCCCAGGTATCTGCATAATAGGACCAAGGATTTTGATCTCCTTTGTAAAGCATTTTCAGATCTGCAGCTGCAGGAGGTGGTTGGAGGGCAAGAAGTACGGCAGTCCCCTTAACACTGGGGAAAAAAAGAAACCAACTCTCAGGTGTGTGAGGCCAGAGCGAGACAAGCTCAGGGTGACACAAAGGTTCAGCACTAAGATCGTAGGAAGGGGTCTTGAAAAATCATTGGAAAGGAGAAAAAAAATAATCTGAAAACTCCCAAGTGACAGCAGGTGGGACTGTTTCAGACCAAATCTGTGTCTGCAGAGCACCCTATAAGCTTTTGAAGAAAGGTGATGTGGAACCTCTTCTGTAGGTAATCAAGCAAACTTTGAAGCATTTAATGTAGTGCTCACTAATCCATACCACCACGGTGGACTTTTCCAACTTCTCAGCTTCACTGCAGTTGAACACAGGTCTGGGTATTTAGCATGAAATTCTCCAAGCCAAGACCTATCACTTGCTGCATTAATGTACCATCATTTCAAAATCACACAATTGCATATAGAAAAGACGTTCACAGGCAGGAACGTGGCTCCATCAGTTTTGCTACCAAGCCAGCCCTGAGGCCATCACCTCCAATGAAGAGGTGGGAGACGCACCACCCATCTGGGAAGGTTTTCAGCCCCAAGGGCTCTGGTTGTGCTCTCCTCCTCGCTGTCACTAGAAAGATGTGGCACCTGAACAGAAAAAGGAAAGATGCAATGGAGTTGGCAGGAATCAAGTCAGGAGTGGTTACTGCTCCTAAATGAAAAAAAAAAAAAACCAAACGGAAAGGGCAGCGGGGCCACACGTATTTAAAAACTGAGAGATCCCATGATACACAACAAACCTGCTACGCAATATCCCTAAGAAGCATCTTTGTAAATCCCTTTGGAATTCTTGCAGGGAAATAAGGTAAAAAAAGGTAAAACAACCATCTCAAAAACCTTGGGATGAAAAGCAGCATTTTAGGTGAATGTCCCAATCATTTATCAATTCTCCTTGTCTTCCCCAGAAGAGACTCGAGTGTATCATTAGAGTTCAAACGAGATGAAAGAAATCCTGTCCTCTCGATAAAAAGTCTCAAACCTGCGATTCAAGTTTTAGGAAATAAGGCTTAAGCAAAAGCTACTCAACCCAAAGCTTAAAGAGTTATCCCAGCTATGTGGGGCAGAGGACACCTCTGCTCACCAAGCAGGGCAGGGTCAAGATCCAGCACTAAGCAGTCCACGGATCTGTTTGTCAACAGAGCTGGAGTTGCCTTTAGTTTCCCATGAAACTCATGGGACAGCCAGGCTGCCAAGCCTGCTTTGTGAAAGCGTGTTGCATGGATGGAGCACTGAGCTCCTACAAGTATACTAGATGCTAAAAAAAACAAATAGGAAATGTGTTGCGTTCTTGAAGAACATCAAGACAGTAGCTTGTGGAAATGCAAGCTGGAGACCAAGAGTTTTCTGCAGATTCTGTTACTGGGAATGGAAATGATGGATTTATGAGTTTGCTGATTTAGAAGGAAACACTCTTGGAAGTGAAAATGATCTGAGCAGGTATCTCCAGATGATGATGAGAGAAAAACCCACATCCAGTAGGTTCACCCAATGCAAAAGTTCACAGTGCAAAGCAGCCCCAGCAGGACAAGCAGAAATGAATCCCATGCAACTTTGACAGTATGATGGCGGGGCCAAATTAAATCAACCCTGCCTCAAGGCTGGGCTAACATGGTAATGCTGCTCATTTTGACGGCCATGAGGATCTCCATGCCCCACTGCACTCTGCCATCTGGCAGTCTACTTGGACTTCTCCAGCTCAGAGTGACACTGTGCTGCATCTCTCTTGCTTTACCCCCAAGATGGCCCCCAAACCCACACAGTGTCCAAGGAGGTGACAAAGCAACTCAGGCATGGACAACACTTTGGACCAAAGAACAATTTCAAGGTGGGAAAGACCGTGGTGGGTGTTTAGTGAGGTAAGGCAGAAAGAGATGAAAGAACGGAAAAGGCACAAAGGTGACATCAAAATAGAGACGGGGAGAATTGAAAGAGCAATGAGATGGGACAAAGCTGTAGACCCAAGGCCAAGAAGTTTGAAGCCAAGAAAGAGGATGAAAAGATTTGCAAAGGAGGACAGCACAATCTACAACTACAGATGCTGTTGGTGACAACATGTTGCATACGGAAGCAGGACATTAGGAAGCCAGAAGACAACCGCTGCTTAATTACAGGCATAGACAGCATTTTTGTGGTTAAGACAGAGTTTGTTGTAGAAGAAGGTTAACACAAGAGGTTAAGGAGACTTCTTGTAACTACAGCAGAAGCTCAACAACCCAAATATCAATGTCAAGATGGACAGAGAACAAGGTCAAGGAGCCATTTGCTGTGCAGAAGGTAAGAAGGGGTTTTCTCAAGGTATGTAGACACATGTCCCACTAAAATCAAACACCAGGTCTGACACAGACATCGCAAATAATTCCTGCAGTGAAGCCTTGCTGGACAAGAAGCTAGCACACAGCCTCTGGTCTCTGCCATCCAGCCTAGAGACCCACACTGCCATCTCCATTGGCTGAAGGCTTGCAGGTGCACTGCGGTCAGGAGATGGAAACAGTTGGCTATTTTACTGAAAACACCTTTTAGTTAACACTGTCTCTCCTTTTGACAGTACAGCAGGGCACCAGACCAGAGAGTGGCAGAGATTTATCCTCACTTGACTTCTACTCATGCTTCTGTCTTCAAACACATTTTTCAAATACAGTTGAGGTGCCACAAAAAACACAGCAAAGACCCAGGACAGCTGGATCCTTGATTGGCCTCATGGAAAAGCAACATCTAGGAGGGCTTTATCTTGTTGCTTCTGGGGAGGAGGGAGGGTGGACCCTAAAGCCAGCATGTTTCCTCCAGTCTTTGGAACCAGTATCAGAAAGAACAGACGACTGGGACAAGAGGATTAATGAGTTGCCAACAACAAAGCCATGGCAATGGTGGTAACCATCCAGTGTTCATCTGTCAACACGGTGTAGGTGTAAAGCTACCATGCAGTGACTCCCCTCAAGAAGATGGGCTTTACAAAGAGAAAAGGTGAGCAAAACCCCGCTCTAGAGCTCTGTACAGCAGAGGGGGGGTCTTGGGCTTGGGCTAGGTAGGGACTGTCTCTTGGAGAAGGCGGCTGAGTCACGCAGAAGAAAGCACTCAGAGCAGTAACACCCCACCGTTGGAACAGCCTCAGCACACAGCAATCAGCTCATGAAAGAAGAAAAGATTTACAGCCAACACAACAGTGGGAAAGTCTCCCATAACTTCTCCCAGGGGTTTTACAGTTCCACCACCATCAGGCCCACTTCGAGAAGGACTGAAGCATGGAGCTTGAATAAAAGTTGCCTTCTAGGCTTGTTTATCTTACATGGAGGAAAAGCCGAGGGAACAGCTTGTGGTTTTGATTTTGCAAAGTAACTGGTTTGGGGCAAGACCTGCTCAAAGCACACGGAGCACTTTTTCAAAGCAAAACAAGGAGGAAGAAAGTCCATTCCTACCAGTCCAATAACTACTAT